TGAACACTTTAAAACAGCTCCTCATGTTGTGGTGTCCCCCGAAGCATAAAATAATCTTCACTGCTACCTCAACTGAAATTTTGCTACCATAATGAATCATAATGTAAATATCTGTGTTTTCTGATGGTCTCAGGACCCCGTGAAAGAGTCCTTCGATCCCAAAGGGGTTGAGACCCACAGGTTGAGTATCTCATTGATTTAGATTCTCTGCTGGGCTTTCCTGAGGCAGCTAGTCTGGTCCAGGTCCTCAGGCCTACTTTTGGGAACTATTATATTCTAACAGAAGTTCTAGAATGACCAGACAATTGTATCTCAGTAAAACAGCAGATGCCTGGCAGGGTTCCCAATATTGGCCTTCAGGAGTTGAGCGCTGTCTCCCCGCTTTGAGACTTTGGATGCAACCCTTCAAACAGAGAGCTGCTCCATCGCTGGGTCTGTACCTTAAATGTATGTATAAGAAATGTCCAACCATGGTAACAGAAACAGTTGTTTGTTCCTAGCACTGTTTTTCAGCCTTTCCTCTTGAGGTTCCTGCCCACTCAGTCACATTAGAGCTGTGTAAACAAGCTTGTACTATGAAGCTAGCACATAGCTTGTCAGTTTTTTTCCCCCCAGAGGCACTTAACATTGATCATTTCTAAAAAGAAGCCATTGGTTTTAGGGGGTGGCGGGAAGCAGTACGGTGATGTAACGTGGAGGAAAAGGAATAATGTCAACAGGGGCTTCTGTTCAATGGCACAAATACTCAGCCACTTTCACGGCCAGGATTTGAGTTGGGGGTTTAGGGAATGGGTAGCAAGAGTGGCAGGCCTGATGTTCCAGGCTTTGTGTGACTTTGTCTCGTTACTGGGGGTGCGCTCCTCTTAGTGTTATACCACTGTCACCTAAGGAAGTGAAACTGGTTCTGGATGCACTCAGAATACTGGGACGCTGGTATGGTAGGGTTTTTCTCCATTCTGTTATAGGAGACCTGGGGATTTTACCTGGATAAACCCTGACTTCAAACATGACAATGCTTTCTCTCTATGTTCATGTATGAGTTGGCATGCATGTGTGCACATGCATGTCAAGGCTAGAGGACAACAGCAGGTGTCCATCCTCAGGCACTGTCTACTTTAACTTTTGGAGGAAGTCTTCCTGGCACCAGTCAGCCCCAGGGATATAAGTGTGACTACATTCCCAGCACTATGGTGAACAGGCACAGGTCACCATACTTGACTTTTTCACAAGGGCTGTGGGTTTTAAACTCAGGTCCTCTTGCTTGCAAAGAAAGTAATTTATCAGTTGAGAGTCTCCCCAGTTCATAACAGTTTGTACAATCATCTTTGTCAGGTTGCTTATATGACTTCTCACTGTTCCTCTTCAGAAGCAACCTGGTGTAGTGCATTCCTTCTTGCCACTAAAGATCTGGGTATCTGGAGTGATGTCCAAATGCCAAAGCCCAAAGCTCAGTGAGACCAGTGCTGAGATGGAACTCCAGGCTGACCCCCAAACCTCTTCCCTTTCCAGGTTTTTCTGTGGTCCCACTTGTAGTGTGTGCATGTGTATATCTGTGTCTGCTGAGGTAGAGAATGCTCTGCCCAACACTGTCATGAAATGGCGAAAAGTGGGCTTGCTCATATGTACTGATGGTGACCGACATGGAACATTCTGGAAAAAGTCCTTCAAGGACAGTTAAGAGATCGTAAGTTCTGAGGTTCTTTCTGTATAACAGTGGGAAGGAATTCTAAGGATGCTGGTTTTCACAAACACTGAGGTCTGGAGTAGATGGCTTGATGTGGTTCATTAGTTGCCAAGCCAGGCTTTCCAGGTCAGGCTTTCCACTATGCTCTGCAGATGGTGATTTGTGATGGACAAAGAAACACAGACACAGGGAGGGCAAGTAACTTGCCCTGGATCACACAGCTAGGAAGGAAGGGAGCCTGGGTTTAATCTGATGGCAGAGATTGGCTCCTTGTGGAGACTGGAACACATTGTCTGAGTACATTGTCAGTTGTTCTCTTGCTCACTGTGAGGTATGATGGGAAAATATTACTAGGGTGCTTGCTTCCTGTGGAAATGAACTCATATTTTCAGAAAATGTTTACATTCTTTAAATATCATAATAAAAATCTCTGACCTTTTCTGTGGTGAGTTTCTTATACACATGTATATAAAATGAAGAATATTCTATTTTTCTATGAAATTTAAAACATCCCATTGAGAGAGAGAATGGCTCAGCTAAATGTTTTAGGACCTGGTTTCTATCCTCTAGAACTTAAGTAAGAAGAGCTGGGCATGGTAACATGTGCGTGATTCCAGTACTGGGCAGGCAGAGACAAGGGGATCCCTGGGACTTGCTGGTCAGCCAGCCTTGCTTGCTTGGTGAGTTCTAGGCCAGTGAAGACCCGTCTCAGAAAAAAGTGGAGTGACACACCAGGTTGCCCTCTGATCTCCACATGCCTGCATATCCACACATATGTGCAGTCTTGTACACACAAGCCCTCAGACACCCAGTGTTTCCATTCATTTCATTTCCATTGTCTTCACTGAAAGGAAACATTGTAAGCGTATTGTAATGAATTAAGGTCTGGTTCCCCAGCTCCCTCAGCATTGTCATGAGTGAGTCCATTGATAAAGTCCTGGCCCACACAGCTCTCTCTGACTTTTGTTGACATATGAATGAGCAGGTAGCTATATTACTCTTTTAGAATCGATTCATCCCAGACCTAGAAAAATCAGACGTGTAGTCTGAGTTTCAAAACTAGTTGATAGAAAAACCAAAAATAGAAGCTTTCCTTATGAGAACTAGAATCACTAAGCTTTTACCCTCTACTTGGCCTTCACTCAACAGCTTCCAGCTCCCAGAACATCAGCCTAGATGAGCTCACAGAGACACTTCTGTGGTGGCTTGGGGCAGGAGCAGCTGGATGAAGACACAAGACTGTGAAGTTAGTTTCTAGGCCATCACCAACTTTCCTATTCTAACAGAAGTGGCAAATTAAAGTGAAAGTGTTTGTTTTAAAAGAAAGCAATGCAAACTCTACAGGGCTCCATCTATGGATAAGTAAGGATTACACAGGTGGTTCTGGGTTCTATTTCTCATGCTCTGTCATATTCTATATTAAGGTAGAGGAGCAGACAAGCAAGTAGATGTTCCAAATCGAAGCAGTGTGTTCACTTTAAAAGTCACTGATTAGAATAAAACCCTGGGCTTCCCTGCAACACATTACTCATAGCCATCCTGACACAACCAAGGGTGATGAAATAGGGCAAGCCTTGGCAATCTTTCATGACGTCTGGCTTGAAAGCACGCTCAAAGTCAAACAATGCAGAGTAAACCTCCACTCTGCATCAGGGATTTTGGGCACTGACATTCTTAGCATAAATTACTGATTCTTATCTCTTTCCCATCTTCCACCCTAATTTGTTTTTATAGAATGACTTTTGGCACCAAAATAGTTTATGGTAGGATCTTCCCCAAATTTTTCTTGTAAACCCAGTGGCCTTTTAAGTATGGTATTTATCCAAGTTTCTTTGACGAAAAGCCCATGAAATTTGTGCAGATAGCTCTGTCAGGCTCTTAGATTAGTGATAACATTTAGAAAGGACTTCTCTGCTTTGCACTGTATTCTCCCATTGCAGCTCACCTGTGAGAGCTCTGGGGGGTTCACCCGCCAAAGGGTGGGATGTGGAGAAAAACCCCCTGGTTCTGAGGCAGCAACCTCACTTAGTTAACTTCGTGCTCAGGCTCACACAGAAAGTGCAGTGTCACACCAAGAACTGAGCTCATCTGGTTCCTCCCAAGTCTTATATGTATGTCATTGCTTACTGCTGTTTTTACAAAAAGGTTGAATTAAACATGTTCACTTTTCCTTAATCAGATGAAATTCATATAACACAAAATTACTCATCTTCAAATGTGGAATTCAGTAGCATTTGGTAATCCATAGTAATCTACAACCTTCATCTTTCTCCAGCTTCAAAATGTTGTCATCATTCCCAAAGGAGACCCCATGTCTGCAAAATGATCATGCCATTCCTGTTTCCCCCAATGCTGGCAGCCACCGGTGTTTTCTGTCTGGGTGAATTTACTTATTCTGGGTACTTTAGATAAATGGAGTTCTGCAAATACACAATTTTTTTCCTGACCAGCTGCTTTTATGTAGCAGAATTTTTTATGGTTCATCTACATTGTAGTATATATAAGAACTCATTCTTTTTATGGATATTCCATTCATGCACTGGTGGACATCTGGGTTGTTTATACTTGTTGGTTAGCATCACTAAGACTGCTATAAATATTTTAGTGCCAGTATTTGAGTATTTGTTTCCAATCTTGGGGTGCATACACGAAGTGGAATTGCTAGGTCACAAGCTAATTCTGTATTTCACTTTTGAAAATCACTAAACTAGTTCTGCTGTGACATTCCTACCATCTAGAGGGTTCTTGTTTACCCATTTCATTGTCAACACTTTACTTTTGTTGTTTTGTTTTTTCTTTTTGTTTGTTCTTTTCGAAATAGGGTTTCTCTGTGTAGCCTTGGCTGTTCTGAAACTTGCTCTGTAGATCAGGCTGGCATCGAACTCAGAGATCTGCCTACTTCTGCCTCTTAAGTGTTAGGATTAAAGGTGAGCACCATCAGCACCTGGCTAACATTTGTTACTGAATTTTTATTTATTGCTATAATTGAAGTGGTTATAAGGTGGCAAATTTTGGGGCTCTTGATTTGCATTTCGGTAATGAAATATCCATACACTACTGTATAGGAATTAACCAGAAAGTGATCTTTGTTAAAACAAAATCCACATCAAAATGATTGACTTTGTCTCCTCCAGGAGATTAAGATTGACATATGTCCTCTCTTAGAGCATGTGACTCTGGAGAGGACCTTTTTCCTTGAGGTTAGAGACTGTCCAATATGTCTGACAAAAAAGATACTTGATTATTTGCCTTTCAATGCTTTCTTTTTTTTAAAGGTTCATTCTTGACTTAATGGTATGCTCACTTATTTTTTCAGTGTGAGAGAAGACACTCAAGATGGCTCAGGGAACTGGGGACCAGAGAGCAGTGGGGATCGCTGATCCAGAAGACAGTTCTCCCAACATGATTGTCTACTGCAAAGTAAGATGCCCAGGGAACCACCGGGCATACTGCCTCTGTGTGTCTGTTTTCTGAGAGGACTGACTGACAGTGTGAGAGAAGTGCTGTCTGTCAAAAGGGCATTAAGGTTAAAGGATGATTGTCTTCTCATTGTTTAATTCTGAAATTCAAGGAAGTCAAGTTTTCTCCAACTTGGCATTGAGCACTTGAAACATTTCATATCATTTACTTTTGTGTAAATCCCCATATTGCTAAAGTAATGCATCTTGGAGTGTTTGCTCCTTTGGTGGCCTTCACAGTGCAATGCAGAGCTAACTGGAAGGTTGATGGTCCAGATGCTGGCGTGAGATGTAGAGGTGTGGCCACTCAGTGCTTAAAGTTGGTAGGAGTTGGAAGAGACCCATAACATCTGTAATGGAACATGTTAATTGCAAAATAGGTGCAAAGAGAGTGCTGTCTACCATTTGAGGAGGAAGCTAATTCTCCCAGCTTCAGGTTGGGGAGTTGCTGTGGAATTGTAGTTTCAAAGGGATGTGCAGGATTGTCACACCAGAAAAGCAGAGAGGGAAGACCCACCAGATAATGAAATCCCAGTAAAGTCAGCTGGGAAACTAAACAGCCCCTGGATCTGATTGTGAATGGCAAGGAGCAACGGGAGATAAGATTGAGGCCAGAGAGAAGGATGCAGGCAGATTGTAGAGTATTGGATTATGGGTAGTTTAATCATGACAACATTGTGTCCTGAGAGTTGTAAAAACAATATATTTGGGATTCATGGTTTTTCCACAAAGGTACCAAGGTGGGACTGCAGATGTCCTGAGAGTGTTTCTGCATCTGTGAAGACGGGGAGGAGGATGCTCTTCTGGGTAGCAAAATGCCCTTCAGAACAGAGAGCGACTGGTAGGATGCAGTAAAGTTAGAATTATAAATAGCTTGAAAACTGAGCAAATGTGGGATGAAGAGGCATGTCATGTGGAGGGTCAGAGATGATTAGGTTATGGACCTACTGTCAATTCTAATAGGGAAGTTTAAAAGAGAAATACACTTTAAAGGAAGGCAATATGGCCCATGAGTTTATTTTTAAGTGTGTTAAATTTAAGGTACTAATTGTTTTGTTTGCTTATGAAAACTTAACCTAACCAGTATTATATATTAATAAGGAAATGAGTTGATTGTATATTCATTTCACTAAATACTTGAGTTGTCTGCTGGGATCTGTGCCTGCTGTCACTCCGTATTTGGTCTGTATTAATCAGAGGCACAGCGTTGAATTAGATGTTCCTGGGTGATCAATAAGGTGACTTTTGTGTGTGAAAATAGAACTCTTTTATTTCTTTCTCGGGGTTAAAATCCTATAATTCTTTGTTTCTCAAGAGAATGTTGAGAGAGCCTATCTCTAAGAAAGATGGCTACTAAATTATAGTAAATAATATTCACTATTGAAGCCAAGCAGTTTAATGAAACATGCAGGACAGCACAGAGATGACTGGCTGCTGTTACCTTCTCCCCCCCAGGCAGGAGGACCAAGGGCCAAGAGAACAGGCACATGGCTTTGGAGTTGGACTTGGGTTATAAGTTCATCCTACAGGGAGGAGGTTGTTGTAAAAATCCATTTCAATGAAGTGAGACATCTTTGTCCACTTTGGTTCACACTGTAGCTCATATTAGGTGCTTATTTCTCTTTACTTTTGAGGTCTTATAGGATAGTGACACTTGGATAAAAGATGAAGTATAAGATATGTAAATCCTCACATTGTTAGTAAGTTGAACATCATCAATTGATGTAGTAAGTTATCTTTGAGATAGAAGAAAATAATTCAAGGATTATTGAGGGGTTATTACTTTAAAGGATTTGTTTATTTTTATTTTATGTGTATTACTGTTTTGCCTGAACAGTTTGTATGTACACTCCATATGTGTCTGGTACCCAAGGAGGTCAGAGGAAGGCACTGAATTCTCTGGAGCTAGAGCTACTGATGGTTGTGAGCCATCCTGTGGGTGCTGGGAATCAAACCTAGGTCCTCTGGGGATGGTGGCAGCCAGTGCTCTTAATCACTGAGTCACCTATTCAGCCCCAATCCACAGATTATTAGAGGTCAACAATGAATGTAGAATGATGCCACCCAAATGCCTTCCACTGAAATGGTATTTTGAAGGTATAAAACTGTCTACAGTTTGGAAATAAGTTTGATTTCTTTTCCTTTGTGTGTTGGAGCAGGGGTCTCCTTTGTTTCTTTTTTAAAAACAAACGTTATTGGTAGTTCTTTAGAGCAATGGCAACTAGAAAACAGGAGTAAACCTTGCTCGTGACTCATTCATGTGAGGAATACATATGCATTCATGTAGACACTGTTAAGGCTCTAAGACAAATCCAAGCTGAATCTGTTCAGTCATTAGGAAGGAAGAATGCTTATTGTTCAGGGTGAGCCCCAGTCTGGAACTGTTAAGCTTATACTAACTTGACTTACTCAAATCCCTTCCCATAATCACACAATGTTCTGCTTCCAACACTCTAGGCTACTATTGGCTTACAATCAAGAACTTAGTAATTGGAACATGTCAGTAAAGGGTGAATTTAGGAGCTGAGCTCAAATAACGGAGGTTTCCATAGAACTCCTTGTGTGGGACCATTTTATCAAGGTTGTAGCCATATGTCTAGACCTTTACTCAGGTGTCTACAACAGAAATTTTGTTTCCTTCAGTTGTCAAGAGGAACAGCAAGTGTGAGATTTTAGCTTGGATAGTATTGTATTGATCCATATCCCAAAACAATATGATTGGACTTTTGAGTTTCTTATTTCTAATTGACAAATAATAATTGTGCAAATGCATGGCAGTTTTTTACATTTTTGAGTTCATGTACACAACTCAGCCATTAGTATACCCTTTGTCACAGGCATTTATTATTTCCTTTCATAGAAACATTCAAAACGTTAGCTCCTAGCTCTCAGAAATGTTCAGGACATTACTGATAACTTTGTTGTTGTGACTCTCTGACACCCTTTAGGATGACCCTGATCCTGACACATAAGCGAGCCCACACCTTTCAGAAAACACTTCATTTTCTTCTTACATTTTCATGTCATTAACTTTGAGAAGTTGTACTTCCACCAAGGTATGACTTATTTATCGACTTGAACTGACATTCTAATTTGGTTTTTCATCTTCCATATTCACATCTTGGATCAGAGGTGTGTATGAAAAATGTATTGGTCGCATTAAAGATCTATTTAAAAGAAAACCTTAATCATTCATCGAGACTCCAGGACTTCTTTATATCCTGAAACCCTTAGGGTTCTGGGTCACTGAACTGTCTAGTGTAGTGATGATATTGGACACTAGCTGTCTGTCAAATTGTTTACAGGTTCTTTGCTAAAAAAAAACAACAAAAAAACAAAACAGTCCTCAAAGAATGCCCTTACTCCTGGATACCTTACTTCAATAAGTCTAAGAAGGGTGCTTGGAATGTGAGGGTTTTTTTTTTTTTGGTTTTTTGAGACAGGGTTTCTCTTTATTGTTTTGGAGGCTGTCCTGGAACTCACAGAGATCCACCCACCTGCCTCTGCCTCCCAAGTGCTGGGATTAAATGCATGCGCCACCAACGCCCAGCAGAATGTGAGTTTTAAAATTATTTGAGAACTTGGTTCTCAACTAAACCAGAAGCATACCTACTTGATGTTTGTTTTCTATCACCTCACCCCATCATTATGTAGGCATACTATATGTTGAAAAATCATGGGAAAATTGTTGTTTAAATCTGTTTTAAAATTTCTTTCTATGTTTATATATTTTAAAGTGTGTGTGTGTGTGTGTGCATGCGACTCTTTAGGTTTCTACTTCTGTGATGAAACACCACGACTGAAAGCTGTTGGGGATGAAAGGGTTTATTTTGCTTCCTGTTCCATATCACTGTTAATCATTGAAGGAAGTCAGGACAGGAACTTAAACAGTCCAGGAACCTGGAGGTAGGAACTGCTCTGGAAGCCATGGATGGGTGCTGCTTCCTGGATTGCTCCAGACTTCTTTTGTATAAAATCCATGGCCACCAGTCCAGAGGTAGCCCTACCCACGAGGAGCTGGGCTCTCCCACGTCAATCACTAATTACAAAAATGTCCTACAAGCTTGCTTCCAGCGTTATCTTGTGGAGGCACTTTCTCATTTGAGATTCCCTTTTGTCTTTAGCTGTTGTCAAGCTGACATAAAAACTGGCTAGTACTGTGTGTGTGTTGTACACGTAAGTGCACATGTGAGAGTATGTGCATGTATGCCATGGCACATAGTGGAAGTTAGAAGACAACTTGTGGGAGTTGGATCTCTCTTTCCATACCGTGACTTCCAGGGAGCCAACTCAGGCCTTCAGCATCGGTGGAAAGTATCCCTATCGACTAAGCCATCTTGTTGGCCCTTAAATTGGCTTTTTAAATTTCAGAAATATTTTGGATCCCTCAAGCTGTAGAAGAACCAACCACTTGCCATATTGTTTGGCATTGTTGGAAGTGACCTATAAATTTAGTTCTCCATGGCTTTAGCAGCACCCCTCCATGGTCTCTACGTTAGTTTCTGTATCCAGGTTCCTGCTCTACTTGAGTTCCTGTCTTTGTTTCCGTCGATGATGAACTAAGATGTAGAAGTATAATAAACTCTTTCCTCCCCAACTTGCTGTTGGTCATGGTGTTTCATCACCTTAATAGAAATCCTAACTAGGACAGTAGTCAGCATCCTTAGATGGAAAAACTAAAGGTACTACAAGGCTACAAACTTGCTTGTGGTTACCAGACAACTTCTCAGTGAAGTCATGAGTGTGTCCAAGATCCCAGTGGTCTAGTCAGTATCCATCATGGTGCCCAGTAGTGCTATGAATGCTCAAAGCCCCGTGTGAAATTGCCACATTGCTGGAGCTCAGTAGCTATCAGTGAAGTTTATAGCGAATGTCACAAGGCAGGTCTCTGACTTTCATGCTCTCATCAGGGACTTCACATGGTTCTTGCTGAAGCTTCCTTCCCCTCTCTGAATGCTTGTG